AGCACACAGTGGCAGTACGAGGTGGTCGAATTAGAATTCAAACTGAAGGATCGATCTTTAAGCCAAGAAAATGACAACTGTCGAGAGGAAAGATCAAGAAATGCGCAGTAAACCATATCAGATTTTTTTTTTCCGGCCATCGTAAATTATATCAGACTACACAAGCAGAGAATGATAAATGCAGTGAGTGCAACGTCGTTATGTTCAACATTGTTATTAATGAACTCGTAATTGACAAGAGACAGGCCATACATACGACAGTGTCTGTGCACTTTTGCCGAACCTTTTAAATATATTGTACTACATAGTCTTATGGGGGGCCTTATGGCCATAGCCTGGGAGTTCAAAGCATTCTGGGACACAGGTAGATCAGGAGTGATCTCATGTTACGTTGATATAATTCTTTGGGCGATACACTTGAGATTATGGAATTTTGTTCATTGTCTTTCAACATGATATTTCATAAATAACAACATTAAGACAACACTAAGCACATGATGTATGAATAAAATACTTTTTTATGAGGGCATTAATTAGAACTTTCTGGGCATATATACACATATATGTATGTATTATATATATTAGCGGTTGGAAAACATGAAACATGTCTGAAAAATTAATTTTCATAAGGTGCCTGGGACGAAAAAAGGAACAAGCGGGGAGAGGCCCACTTAAAAAACGAAAAGTGCGTGAACATGCGTGACGCAACCCTGTTACGTGCCCTCAGGCAAAGCGGCCACGTAATATCCAATGACTAATGAGTGATTGAGACCGCCCGTCTTAAGCCCGTCAAATTACATAAAGCCCCAACGAATATATATTATATAGAATACAGTTATTTATTTTTAAGTGGAAAAAAAATCAAGGAATAAAAAATAGACCAGACACTAAACCAGTTGAGATAATAATTTAAAGGTCAGTTAGTCGAACTGGCATCAACTCAGGATGAACTGTTCATATTAAAATAAAATAATTTACTTGAAAATGATAAAATACAATAACGTTAAAAATCACTAAAAACAAAATATAAGAAAATATAATAATAATTTGATTGTAACAATAACAAAATATAATAACATTGAGAATTTTAATGTTTACAATGCATCAATAACTAAAATTAATAATCATTGATGTCAAAATCATCACTAAAATTCATTCAAATATATAATAACTGAGATATTAGGAGTTGAATGAGAAAAAATAGAACTAATAGCAACATAATCATTCAAAACGGTTCATTACCTATTCATACCGATTTGACTGGTTCGATAACGATTCAACTTTTGACCTGTTTAATGTCTAAATCAGATTAGACCACATGTCAATTTACCGGTTTTTTGGTCGAATTGGCTGGTTTTGTTCAGTTTTTTGTTTTGTGAAAAAAAAAAATTATTTATGTTTGTTCTCAATTTGGACATTTTAAATTTGTTCCCCAGCCTCTACCAAAAAAAAATAAATTTGTTCCCCAGCCCATTTACGCGAGCAGATCAGTGATGCATGGAAACGCACCCTATGTAATATTCTAAATTATTTACGGTTAACTTTAACATCAGTAAAGCCGACGACAAGAAGGCCACACAGACGCGGCTTACCAACAAAAGCTGAGTTTCACATCAAAGATTAAAAATGTCTTTCAATATTCCACCTGCGTTTTAAAAAGCTATGGCAAAGGATTCGATGATTTCTATTTATTTGATGAGTAAGTCTAGAAATATTTTGTAAACTGAATAAGTCGTGAATTTTGAATGCCACAATATAATCGCTTGGACAACACTGCGTGTGTTGCGACTTGGGGAATTGACAGCATGTGATACATCACCTTTTGACCTCCTCCTCCTCCACTTCTTCTTCTATGTCTTTTCCCCTTTCCTTTTTTGAAACTCCGGTGTCAACTCTTGTATGTAATGCTGTAGTTGCTTCAAAATTTACTTTTCTCAGATAAGTTTTTATTCTAAAATATTTATATAGTCTTAAGTAGGGCCTAGTCTCCGCTGAACTAACTGTAGGTACGTGTGTGCCTTCCGCATATTTGTACTTAGGATGGTCACAAGGAAGACGTAGTAATATACACAGATCTTATATATATTCATAATATAATAAGTACAGTTTTTGACCCAGGTATATATGAAGAATTCAATTTACCTGCGTATATAATAGATATCCAAATAACTTTACTCGGAACAGCGCTTGGCGCCCAAGGTCGAGTTGTTGAACCGGTCAATCCGTAATTGGTCTGTTTTCAAAATTCAGCCTTTGAGTTCAAACCCCCTTGCCGGGTCAAGGCTAAGGGCTTTTAAAAAGCACGGAGGGTAGCGGTCAAGGCTTATAATCCCGAGCAAACCCAACCCCTCTCTTGTTCCTATAAATATCAGAGCTCTCATCTCTTTCGATCCATCATCCATATCTCAAAGCTCATACAAACTTTAATTTGATCGTAACCAACATCCGATAAAGCTCAGGGCTCATCAAACTTTAATTTGCCAGCACCACCATATCTTTCCAAAAGCTAGCTCGAAAGTGAGAGGGAACTCAGAGGAAATTCCAGGGAGATTAGTCGCCCACATGGCTTTATTTTGCAGCAGGAACATGGTTTTGACGGTAGTGGTAATAATGTTCATCGTATTGGTTGCTTCTCCAGAATTGGGAGCGGCGAGGTTGTTGCCAGCTGAGTTCTGGTCCTCACAACATGGGATTCTGTTGCCGTCGCTGCCACGAGGCACCACACCTGCAAGCCCCGACCCTGTTCACACCTAAACCTCAACGCCATCCCTTCATCCATGTCCATGCAACTCTCCTTTTTTTTTTTTTGGGTACGCGAGATTCTTTTGTTGACATTCGTTACCTTACAGATCTCTTGACACGATCGAATTGTATCATAAGACTGATCAAAGATGTACACATGAATTTGCAAATAATAATGATAATGCGCAGCGACGACTTTTGTTCATTCAAATATCAAGTTTGACTATATGCATATGCAAGTTGTAGTGAAGAATAATGTTATGATCAGTCCTCCTGGACGGCGCATTAGGTAATAACACTACTGAATCCGAATCCCCAGCATTGAACCCGTCCGCGTGTTTTGGTTTGAAGCCTTGTGAATTTCATACTCATGTACGTTGGCAAGTCCCAGTGGCCTATGAATCGCCTGCATGTCTCCTCTGTGCGCTACGAATCAGTCGGAGACAATGCAGAATTTTCAAAATTGGCCAACTATACATACACACACACACATATATATTCTTGGGCCTTCACTCTCACAGGTTGATTTTGCGGTTTTAGTCACCGACAATAGTTTCTTTCTTTGCTAATAGTTTGGGTTTAGCAGAAGGGATTAGTTACTTACAAAATGGCAAATTAAGATTTGAATCTCTATTGAAAGAGGTGCTCGCATTTAGCGTCTGACAGTATCTCGAATAAGATAACCTCTAATTAATAGTTTCTTTCTTTCTTTTTTTTTCAAAAAGGACATTATTTAATAAATATGAACTTCTTATTAGCACTATTGTTTAGCAGATTAGTTATCCACGTTATGAATTCGAAATCGACCATACGGGGTGAAAATATGACAATATAATTCTCCGGGCTATTATCAGTTGTTCTTGTTATTATTTATGAGCTTCTTCAATTAAAATAGTATGACGATATATGCAGTTATCTGTTAATACTATGCAAAAAATATAATTTTTTGTGTGCATATAATGGCATAATTTTTCAATTAAACCACAGACTTGTCATTTTATTTTTGGAGAATTGTACTTATTTTCATTAAAAAAAAGTTTAACAGTAAACATATGAAAAATTGAATGCTAATTTACATGAACGGCCTTTTTCTATGATATACTTGACTTTTACGATTTTTTGTATTTGATTTTGTTTTGTTTTGTTTCTGGCTCATTTTTTATGAGCTTTGAAAATCAGAGAGAAGACTTGAATAATTCCCTAGTTTTCAGGCTTCTGACTATTGACTAACTTGAAAATAAAGTGAATATTCAATCCGTCCGCGGCGCAGCTAACTCGTCATTTCGATTTCGATATCCACGAATGTGGATTTACTATGATTTGACATTGGTAAAAAAAAAACAAACGACTTACCATGCATTTATCCCTAGACATTTTAAACTCGCAAGAAGAGCAACTCTTTGGCAGTATCACGAAACAAGATTTAAGTTCTTATTGAAAAAAATATTTACATTTAGTATCTCGAATAGAATTATATTTAATAAGGGATACTTATACTTTGAAAAAATAAACACATGCATAAAAATACTTTGCAGTATAAAAAATCAGGAACGGCCAAACCTGGCTCAATTTTTAATTTTTCAGATACATTAATTCAGAAAAGCCTAACTACGTACTTGGTATGGAGTTGAATCCCATATGGCTACCGGTGGCTTGATGGTAATCGAACTATGGTGTTTTTCTTTTTTGGTTTTTTAGTAGGTACACATATCTTCCTATTAAAGATAATCAGACACTATCAGTGATGCTTTTCTTTAAAAAACTGACATATCCAACGCAGAATATCTTTCTGCTTCTCTTTTTTCCAAGGAAAGAGAGAATTCATCCAAAATCGATGAAAGAGAGGAGAAAGATATCTTTCGGTCAGAAAACTGCAATTTTTATTGTTTTGTTTTTAGGCCAACTCTCTTCTGAATCAACAACGGCGGAGTAGCTTTCGAAAATCTAAAGAAGGTTCTAGTTTTTTTTTTTTTTTTGGGTGACATTAGATTCTGATTATGCCTCAAAAATTGTATTAGAGAAACTTCTGCCTATGCGGGAGTCACATATAATAAGATTTATGATATGACAAAAAAAAAAAATCTCAAGAAGGAATCAGATCCTCTCTAGGAAAGAGGAGAAGGGGCCAAGAAATTTAAAAAGAAAAAGAACCTTTGTTCATCTGCCTTGTCTGTGAGCACTTCATGTTATCCCGCAGGGGGCAATAAAGGGAAGAAACCAAAATGGCTGTGGCGGGAGCAGGTTCATCAACAATAAAATCAAGCAACATTCTTTCTATCCAATAATTCCTACTTCAACCTTTACAAATTTTAATCCTTTCAGCGACAATTTATACATTATGTAGCCTATACACAAATTCTGATAATACGTACATCTGATAAAAATGAACAACACATCACTCAAGAGTCAAGATGTATGTACAGAAATCACCCAAACAAAAAATGTATATACAGAAATAAGCCATCAACACGGAAACATGCGATTCCAATGATATGGAACCACCATAATTTGTGCGGAGATTCCTGAACCATACAAATCAATCAGAGGCGCCATCACAGACTAATTGAGCTCAAAACAACAGTATTAATGTCTACAGGGTAATCAAAAGGCGATTTTGTGACCAGCGATCTCCATGTCTTCTTCTTAGGATGATAGATTTGGAAGTACAGTATCCCTCCTCTCTTATGTCGCCTGTGCCTTCGTGGTTCCACCACATCCACAGCATTTAAATTCATCATTACATACAGCTCACCATATAATACCACAAAACCAAATGAAGAGTTGCAAGGAGCTTTTCTAGGTACACGTGACTCAGAAAGCCAATGATTTGAAGACATGTCATATCTGCAGAGGGCATACATCACAAAGTAAAGGGTCAACAGAAGATCTCTAAGCTCATAAATGTTGTAATTTTACATTACGAAGTAAGGGGAAGAAAGTCATCTTTGTGGATATCCAGAAAGTAATGTTATCTTGTACATGGATTTTTTTAAAAAATGATATCGGCGAACAGAGCTGCCTTAAGTGTGTGTTTGGGCTTTGGACTAACTGTGGATTTCTGTTATTAACAGACTATATACTGTTTTGCAAGGACGCTGCTTTGAAAAAGCGATTTCTCCTGATTTTTGTTGTCAGCAAAAGCTCCAAACACTTGATTCATACTCAGCAGAAAGATAGATTGAAGTTTCAGCGGGCAAATTTTTTATTTTTCTGATGGTCAAACAGTATCAGAATGGGCTTTTTAGTTGTGCACTAACATGAATATTATGACCTGGCTTTCCACTTCTGGTCCACTAGATGATTGATAAGCAAGATTATAACCAGCATAATTATCAAACAGTGTCAAAATATATCTTAAAAATCCTGGTCATCTAATCAGTCACACAACTCCAAATAAATATAGCTCGAAAAGCTGAAAAGCCAGAACATTGATTCCCCAATGTATATTCAACATATCATGATCAGGAGGTCGAGAAAGCAAGTCACTAAGAAAAAGTTATATCACACATCTTGGAAGTCAATAAAATTGTGATAACCATGCTGCAAGCGTGTAGACTACAAGCCAACAAGAGTTTATCATAGCTTTCACCATCCGATCAGGCACAAGAAGGGGGGGAGGATCAAATGTCACGGGGAAAAAAGAAGCAGAGTGTTCACATAAATGAGATCGCTAGAGATATTACGTCCCATACTTCATACATTTTCACACTGGTTACTCAGGTTTGAACTTCAGAGCAGCCGATGATAAGTTAATCTGGAACCCAATATTTGTCCCGTGTCACATGCCACAAACACCAAGATTATCCAAATGTACAATCAGCAGTCAGAAAGTACCTTAATATTTCATCCCTATCAAGCATGAAGACCCCTGGACAGCTTCCATTCTCCTCCTCGACGACAACAATTTTTCCAAATCTCATACTCTCCCCTTCTCTCCAGATATTCCCAACTTCTCTCCACGTGCCACAGCCTCTTCCATTCTTCAATTCCATCACCACTGCATCCTTGCAATACTCATCCACGGGAAAAATCCCCGAAATGGTTCTGGAAGCACCGTATCCACCCATCACCCAGAACTCCCTCCTATCCTCTAACTCATTCCCAACAAGAAAACCAACACATCCGGCTCGAAAGCTTGGCAATCCATCCATAGCAACCCACTCGTCCTTACTAATGTCATACCTTTCCACAGAACGGGTTCGACTTCCAGCAGCTCCGAACATTGCATGCCTCGACCCGCCGCCAGCCACCAAAATCTGGTCGGAATCAGGCAATGCCACGCAGGCGAAACTGCCGCGGGGCGTGAGCATGGGGGCAAGACGCTCCCATGAGAAATCATGAAAATTGAAACGGAAAGTCGATGAAGTGGGCGAGGGCCGATCCATGGGAAACGATCGGGTGTCGAAAAGGGACCCTCCAAGTACATAGAGGTGGGGCCCAATTGAGATTGAGGTGAAGTTACAGAGACCATAGACATGCGGATTACAGGGCATAGTGGGGAGAGGGCGCCAAGCAAGAGAATGGGGGTCAAAGAGGAAAGGGGAAGCAATGGAAGGGTCCTGGGGAAATATACAGAGAAGGTGGGAGAGATGACAGTGGCGGCGGCGTAGAGAAGTTAGCGTAGGGGATAATAGGAAGAGTTTCCACGATCTGCAGGTAGGTTTGAGGCGGGCATGATGGGAATATGGGATGAGGGAGAGGATAAAGGCAGCGACGTCGTTGGGGAGACCTGGAATTAGGGTGAGGGTTCGATCAATGGCGGGTAGAATCGGTAGCGGTGGCGATGCTCGTTGTGGAAGTGGCGGAGAAGACTCGATCATTTCTGCCTCACCCTGCCGGCAGAGTCAGCGATTGTGTATCTGGTGATTGGCCGATGACTTTCTGCTGTCCACTACTGGAAGGCAGTTGGGCAAATTATTCAGGGACCCCAAAATCACAACTATGAAAGTTGGGCTGAAGTTAATAAATCCAATCCAAATTATTAGAAGCGTCAAAATTGCGAAATACGGTAGTGACAATTATGAGTTATCCCTAATCCAGAATCCACTGTGCTACTGTTACGGTGTTATTTTCGTCCTCTGCTTCCAGACATCAGTTTGTCAGTTTTTCTCTTCGGACGAAAAGAAGGCACACCACACCAACACGATACCTGCCTGGAGAAGACATAACCGAGCGCGTGACTGGAACATGGAGCTCTTGCGTTTCCTGAAACTAGCTATGCTAATTTAAACAGTGGGCTCACTTCATACAAAATTTTTTTTATACAAATTTAAATGAGCTGGGCCTTGGAAGCCTGTAAAAATATTTAGAGATTACTTGGAAGCCTGTAAAAAAATTTAGAGATTACTTATTCATAAGATTTTTATATTGACAATAAAATTTATTATAAACCGACTCTTTATTAATTGAGTACTAGACCAACTCCTATCGATTGTTTATTATACAATTGAGTGTGATGAATATGTATTTCTTTTGAATGGTGCAAAAGAATACGGGCCAGGATTCCGAAAGCACTACCCTTACCCCTCTGAATGAACGAGGAATTATATTATTAGAAGTTTAGAAGAGTTTATCATTTAAGTTTTAAAAGTTAAGAAAATTATTCCTATATGATTGCAGGTTTAGATAAGCTTTATAGTTTATATAGCTAAGTTTTTTTTTATAGAGATAATTTTTGTTATTTTGCTTCTCCCTCTTTGTTACATGTTAATTGAGAAAATAACGTACAGACACGAAGATGGGAAATCGAGTACTGCTTTGAATTTTATTTTCAGCAGTATTGTAAAATTATGCTCATTTTCTTGTCATCCTCCTCCCTTTTTTAAAAAAATTAACTCATGATTGAAAACCGTCCCTCCTTTCCTCTTGTACAATAAACTGTCAAGCTGTAACAAAAAGAAAAGAGAAAAATAACATGTTAGTCCTCCGGTTTTTAACACAGAACCTTACTGTGAAGATAGTCTTAATTTTAAATATAAGATCTATTTTTTATATTTATTAATTTTTTTAAAGTTATTTTTGTTAGTACTGCTTTAACTATAATTGTTATAAGAGAGGGGGAATATTAAAAAATATTATTAAAATATTACTGCCAGTTCTTAATATACAAACAAGTTGACTAATTTAAGTAAATTAAAAAAAATAGTTAAGTTAGTTACTCATAATAAATATGTATTATTTTTCTTAAAATATCCTTATTAATCAAGTGTATTAGCTAAAACTATTATTATTAAAAAGACAACCTTAGAAAAAAAATAGATAAATACGAGAAACAAAATGAATTATGATTTTATATTTATAGTCAAAATAAAAGTCAAACTGACTCTTATATTTAGGATTAGAGGTAGTATTTTAAAAAATATGTCATATTTATTATAATTAATTAAATTATATAAAAAAATTTTAATTTAATAAAATTAGTTAAATAGGCTGGAGGAGTATTATTTTTTTTTGGTGAACAAAAATAACATGATATTAGCTGGCGGTTAAAGAAAACTAAAAAGAGAACCATTATGTAATTATTCTATTACTTGATGTAATTAATATAAAAACTAATTAACTAATTTAAGTAGATTAAAAAATTAATTAAGTTAGTTATTTGTAATAAATAGGTTTTTTTTTAAAATACTCTTACTAATCATGTATTATTGATTAAATATTTAACATATATAATTATTGTAAATACTATTTTAAAAAATAAATAAATATGAAAGATAAAATAAATTAAAATTTTATATTTAAAATCAAATTACTAATTAAACTAGTCTAAAAATAATATTTTATCGCAGTTATTCAGACATTCATATGACAGTGACATCGCTTGACTTTACTGGCCAGTGTCAGCGGTTTTCTCCCGCTATATCCTAGAGAAGTGCTTTCCCCTTATTAAAAAGATCAAAATAAATAAAATTAGTTTTTCCATTTTATATAAAAGTTTAATTCTTTTTAATTTTATAAAATATATTTTCAATTTTTTAATTCTGACATTATAAACTTTAAACGATGAAGTTTTTTATAAATAATTATTTAAACAGATTCAATTTAATATGTTAAAATTTAATAATATTTTATTAATATTTAAAATTTTAGAGTTGATATTTTAATAAAATTAACGTTACCAAGTTTGAGTGATTAAAAATGTTTGATAAAGTAAAATATACTTTTATAAAAAAAATCAGGGAAAACTAATTTGGAGGTTCTTATAGTTTTTATCAGTTTGGAATCAGGTTCTTATATTTTTTTTTCTTTTTATTAGATTCTTTAATTTTCTCCTGTTTGGTCCATTAATCCCTATCGTTAAATAAGACAAACATTGTGATAACTTTCTATCAATATCTTCTCCTTCCCTGCCATTCTCGCGACCTCACTGATATGAGTAGTACGAGCTCGTCCATCAAACTTGTGAAAACACCTCGAATTCCCGCTGCATCCCACTTGTTCATCTGATATACTTCTCCACTTCCACTTTCTTCCTTTTTCTTTTTCTTTTTTTAATACTGGATCTGCGCAAGTCTCTCTTCCTTTAAACAGTTTCTCAAATTGAATCCATGCTAGTTCTAGAATTTATCTTTACTTTATTGTTGGATTTAGTTGATTTTTCATTTGTTCCTTTATTTTCTACGATCCTCTTATCTCAAATTTGCTTCCCTTGGTCTAGACTCTGAATATTCTATCTTAGTAATTCAAGCTCAAAGAAATAAACTTTGTACGAAATCCCCATTTTAAGGTTCTTTGCTTTGTTCTCTTTTCTGCTTCGCCTTCATTTCTTGTGTTCCTCCCCTACCCCTGTGAGCTATATGGGCATGACCCAGGAACGCATTTCCTTCCTGGCCTTCAAACTTGAACCAAACCAAATGCTATAATTTTTGCAGAGCATACTCGATGCACTGCCTGATGATATTTACCGTGGAAGGAGCAGTGAGTTGGGCGAATTGTGGGTGGGTGATAAGAAGATTTAACAGAAAGTTATAACGGTGTTTGTCTTATTTAAATGTAGGGATTAATAGACCTAACAGGAGAAAGTTAAAGGATCTAATAAAAATAAAACAAATTACAAGGACCTAATTCCAAACTGATAAAAATTATAAGGACTTCTAAATTAGTTTTTTCAAAAAATTATTTGAAACGGACCGCTGTATTTTGGTGGGAAAAAAATGTACAGCTTTTTTTTTTTTTTTGCCTGAAAAAATGTACAGCTGTTTGGCAAAAAAGGACATGTCCAGCTGTAATGAGTTATGACCTGGGATGTGAACCGGTTTGTTTCATAGTCGGTGAGAAGCGGACCCAAATATATATATACACATACAAATGCTCCCGCGAACTCAGCGAAACTAACAGGTGGAGAGAGAGAGCCAGAGGGGCAAAGAGTGAGAGGGAGGGAGAAGTAGCGAGAGGGTCTGAGCCACAAAAATGTCCACAAAAATGGCGATTTTGGAGGGCCTCTGGACAATGCCATTTCTCCAAACCATAGGATCTTGCGAAGGCGAGTCCAAACGCGAAAGAAAAAGACCAAGTAAATTTAAGGGTTTATTCGGGGATTTTCTTCTTGGCTCTGATCAGATCACATCGTCCCACTGAAATTTGGCCATGTTGTTTCACTGGCGACGTTGCTTTCTGGGGGATTTCATCCTACAAGTGTAGAATATACGCGATTTCCGACTTGAGATTAAGTGTGAAACTGACTTGGGAAGCACGCTACTTCGAGTTTAAGTGCGATGGATAACGACTTTAGTCCACGAAGAATGTACGTACCTGCTATTGTGGGAGTGTTGTTGGATGAAACATATCTATGCAGCCCAGCTTCATCTTGAGAAAATGGTAATGGAACTCCCATATTTTCAATTGCCCGAAATTTTATTGAATCTGGTACAGAAGGTAGTTAATGGAATAGTTGCGGTGTACAACCGTGTTAGCCATCTGCTTGTCCTTTACCTTTTCTTTGAATTGCGAAGTTTTTCTATTTTATGAATGGGAAAAAAATTGTTGCAAACAATGTAACATCGAGATCCTCGTCATGACTTTGATATGGTTATTCGTGTCAAGATAGCCGTCTCAACAGTTAAATGCTGTATATAGATCTTGAATTGTCTTATAATGGCCATGTGGGAGCTGTCTAGTTCCAAAGTTATGGCGTGAATTCAAATCATGGTAGTATGCCTAAGGAATTGTGGGGTTGAGGTTTAGAGTTTAGGGGAATGAAGACTGATGTGAATGTAATCTTTACAATCTCTGGCCGGAGGATGTTCAGGTGATGGCAATGTAGAACAATTACTTACTTTATGTTTTTATGTCTACATTTATGACCTATAATTATCTCTGAATAGTTTAACAAACTTTTAAAATGGAGAGGCGGCATATATTGTATTTTGACAACTCTTATAATGCTTTTGATTTTGAATGTTGTTGCAGGGTATTTCGGAGAACATTGTTGTTGGTTCTCACATTTGGGTTGGTGATCCAGAACAAGTATGGATTGATGGGGAAGTACTGAAAATCAATGGAGAGCAAGTTGAGGTTCAAACTAGTTCTGGCAACACGGTAATTGACTTTCACACTGATGGTCCTCTGTTTCAGTTGTCTTTAGTTCTATTTTCCTGTAGTTCCTTTGGATCCCCTGGTTGTTAAGAGCTTTAGATATTTCAATTTCCTTGTTTGGATTTCATGTTTGTCGTTCAGATTCAAGAAAGATGTGTTCTTTCAATGACATTTGCAGTTTTTAGGAGGATCTTGTCCTTAAAACGCATGGCTAAGGCTAGAAAACATTAATGTCAAAAAGGCATGGGTTTTTTTTGATATTTCCAATGAACATATTCTTGTTTTTAAATTAGAAGTATAAGTTATCTCGTGAATTTTAAAGAGGGAAGGAGTGATCATGATCTTTATTAATTTGTACTTCCTTTCTTAGGAGGATGGAGGAATGGCTTATCGTGTTCCTCTTGCATTTCTAGTGGTTTGGC